GGCTAGGGGAGAACCTCTCAATGAAGTACAATATTGTTATTGACTTATTGATTTAATGGTATGTGATATTTTTTTTAATTTAACTTTTGGTTCTTAGTAAATTTTTTGTTCAGTAAAGGTTCTTGAGTCATTGTGTCTTATATTTTGATTTCTTGAATTTTCGTGCAAGATAAATAACTAGTCATTTCATGCTTAATTTAATTACAATTTATTTCACATAATAATATAGCTAGAGGATTGTGTGGTTAAATCAAGAATTTGATTGTTATGAGAGTTTGATTGATTGAGACTCCGGGCAAAGTAAATACTTACGACCGGTAACAAGTTCTTTGATTTTTCTAGATAAACTTTTGGTTATAAAAAGAGGTGTTTTTTGGTTCTTATTGTTAAATCTGGTGACTAAGTCTTTAATCGTTGTTGTATGGATTTGAGAGGGTATACCTAATGCTCTAGTATTTTTACACTATTTTAATCAATTTATTTAATTATACACATTCAAACATTCTTCTTGAAAATATATTTTTTCAATTTTGTTAATAGTTTAGTGTGGTGTATGTTTGTTTTCACAATTCCCTGAGGGTTCGACCTCGGTCTTCCAAAACTTTGCACAACCTGTGCTTAGATTTACATATTTAAAGTTGTAGCAGTAGTTGGGAAGAACACTTGCCACTAATAGAATTTGTATATAACAACAACTACCAAGCAAGTATTGGTATGGCGCCATATGAAGCTCTCTATGGAAGGTGATATAGGACACCTGTATGCTGGAGTGAAGTGGGAGAAAGGAAGATATTAGGTCCTGAATTAGTGCAAGTAACTGCAAATAAGGTAAAGGTAATTCAGGTGCAATTTAAAATTGCTTAGAGTCGGTAGAAAAGCTATATAGATGATCGAAGAAGGGACTTGAAATTTGATGTTGGTGATCAAGTATTCTTACGTGTATCTTCATGGAAAAGGGTTATTAGGTTTGTTAAGAAAGGTAAGTTGAGTCCAAGATATGTTGGGCCGTTTGTAATCATTGAATGAATTGAAGCAGTGGCTTGTCATTTAGCTTTATCATCGAATCCTTCTCGACTATATGATATGTTCCATGTGTCGATGCTGCGGAGATATATACCTGATCCATCTCATGTGTTAGCAGAGGAACCTATTGAGCTTAAGGAAGATCTGACATATGTAATAGAACCAGTTGAGATTCTAGTTCAAATTGAACAAGTGTTGCATTCAAAATCTATACCAATGGTTAACATCTTGTGGCGGAGTCATGTAGTGGAAGAAGAAACTTGGGAAAGTGAAGAGAATATGTGAGTAGGATACCCTCATATTTTTCAACATGGTAAGTAAAATTTCGAGGACGGAATTTATTAAGAGGGAAAGAGTTGTGAGAACCAAGCATGCATAACATAGCATTTTAAAATAAATGTGGGTTTAAGTGTAATTTATAAATATTTGCATGGGTTTAAATTATGATAATTTAAATTTGAAAATTTAGGTACGTTTTAATTGAGAATTTTATTGCTGAATTACAAGGTAGTGAATGTATAGATGAGATTTTAAAAGTGTTGGGAAGTTTGGCAGTTAAAATGTTAGAATAAAGGAACAAGGGGGGATGTTAGTGTAGTTATGGTAAAAACTTGAGTGGGGAGGACACTTGGCATCATGGTGTCTTTCCAACCTTTTGTTTGGTAAAAATATAAAGGCGTTGTTTATGCATCAATCGGTAGGTAAAAGAAGAAATGGAAAAGGAGGGGTTAAGTTCATGGGTTTTGGAGAATAAGCTGTAAACTCATGTTTTCTTGAGTTTGTGAGTAAATTCTTCCTTGTAGTTTGCATAACGTTTGCCTGTGTAAAATAAACTGAGTGGTGATTGTGTTGAAGAGTTGAAGAACTCTAAGTTCTTAGAAATGGGCTCGGAGGAGTTTGACGATTTTCCAGTCGAAACGAAGGTAAGTGAATTCTTGCAAATTGATGTGTTAATTAAATTATATTTAAATCCCTTGAAGTTTATAGGCGTGTAATATATAGACTTTTTAAATTTAAAATGTTATACTTAGAGCAAAAATACTCCAATTAAAAATAAAATATCAAATATTTTAAATTCTATAATCAAAATTTATATTCTATTGTATCATTTAAGGAAATTAAATTAAAAATAAAAATCTAATTTTCTTCTTAAAAAATCATAATTAGTAAACAATTATTCTATCTATTGGAATAAAACTAAAAAATCAAACAAGTGGTCTAAGTCATTCATAATAGAACATGTTTTTTATAACCAAAATTCATATTCTATTATGTCATTTATTGAAATAAAATCAAAAATAAAAATTTAATTGTTTCTTAAAAAATTATAGTTAATATACAATTATACTATCTATTAGAATATAGCTAAAAAATAAGAAAAAAGTCAAATTATAATTGACACAATATCTTCTAACTTTAATTGGTGTAATTTGGTAGTTGACCAAATTAAATTCCAATAGATAGTAAAATTGTCTACGAATTATATTTTTTAAGAAAAAATTAAAATTTTAATTTTAATTTTATTTCACTAATATCATAATAGAACATGAATTTTGGTTATAAAATTTAAAATATTCGATATTCTTTCTTTGATTAAAGTATTTTTAGTCTAAATATAACACTTTAAATTTGAAGGGTCTAAATATTATACGACTCTAAACTTTAGGAGGTCTAGCTGTAATTTACTAATGGATATACTAACGGACATTGGATGTAGAGATCTAAATGTTATGTATGTACAAACCTTAGGGGGACTATATCTAATATTTCAAATATCAAAAAATCTGAGTAATTAAGTGACAAACTTCAATGCGTCTAAATATAATTCTCCCAAAAACTAAGCGCTGAGCTCACCTTCCATGTTTCACCCATTAAATTAGTTACAAAATCCAGCATTTTTCTGGATCTCATTGTTTGTTTTAGCGTTAATGTCATGTACAAGTAACCCATCCGGGATAATAGTTTTGGAACGCAATCCCAAGATTCATTGATAGCATGTATAATTGGCAAAAAAAATTTACTAATTTGTTAGCTTTACAAAGTAGAATTAAGGTTTATCTTTGATGAGTAGATCCACACGAACGAAAATAGATGTAGATTGAACAACGGACTCAATGAATCTAACGATTTTCTATCGTATATCCTTTTATGCCAAAAATTCGAATGCAGTGTATGCTGCAATCCTTAGAATTATCTCCATTGCTTTCTCTCTACGTTTTATAAATGTGAAGATAAAGGTTAAGATTGAGAGAACTAAAGAATGCATTTATTTATAGGTTATAGTAGAGAGCTTAAGGAGAAATAAGAGTCGAACTTTCAATAGGCCTAGGAACCCTATGTCCAACCCAAAATAAGCATCCTATGATCCATTAATAATAAATTAATCTACTAAAAACTTATTATTGATTTTGTTGGCCTTATCTGAAAATTATATTTTAAGCTCCTCATTATTATATGCTTAATAATCTCCACATGTTTAAAATTATGGGTATCCGTCAACTAATTAAATTATTGACAATTATATTTAATTGATTTTTTTTAATCATTGAGATCTTACCTTCGACTTATTTGTCATGTTAGATAATTAAATTCACCTATAGGGTTTGACATGGCCAAAATTTACGAGCATTCTTAAAATGACATCATCAACCCATTTAAATACCTGGACACGGTTTTATTTAATAATTAATTGTCACCATACAAATAATGACATCTCCAATTCATTGAGTTTGTTGACCCAAATATGAATCTCACTCTTTTATGAACTAAAGTAACTATCATTATATGCACGTGTTAATTAAATATCTCAGGACTAAGAGTTTAAACAATCATAATAACCATGAGGTATTTATTTACTTATTTAGTAAGTAAAAGAAAATAATCTCAATAATGGTTATATCAAATATATAGTGTACTAGTGCAATAATTTGAGATATCAGACAATCTCCTATAGCTAAGACAAACTATGTTAGAAGATTGGATTGTACTCCTACTAATAATGTGTCTAATTCTATCTAAGACTATGAATCTTTACTTATATTATGCAAGAATATGATATAATTTAATATTCTGTGTATAAGCCGAACTTTACATACCAGATTATTTATAATATAAAATAAAAACCACATATACATATCATATATTTAATATAATACAAATATTTTACCAACATCGTTTCTCACTGAAATAGAAAATAAAGATTTTTTATTAAATAATAAACTAAATTTCATACAAAAAATAAAATTTTAATATATAAATCTATCGAATAGTATCAAATAATCTGACATGGTCAGATTATAAACACGTATTATGTCATCGTTTAGTTCTAAACTCAATGCTAATCTAATCAATGCTCATTAAAAATAAGGGTTAATAATATTTTTAGACCTTAAAATATGTCCATTATATCAATTTGGTCTCTAAAATATCAATTTTATCAATTTAGTTTTTAAAATTTCAATTCATATAACTTTGGTCTCTAATTAGACAATTCGTTAATTTTTTTTACGAAAGTGATTATTTGTCATTCTTTCAGATGATATCATCTGTCAAACATATGATCATTTCGTTTAAAACTTAACAGTTTGTCTATGTAAGGATCATTTAAATATAAATTGAATACTTTAAAAATTAAATCGATAAAATTGATATTTTAAAAACTAAATTGACAAAATTAACGTGCATACCTTATGGACTAAAAATTCTTTTTCTTCTTAAAATAATTTGACCAACAAGATAGATGGGCGGGCACGGCAATAGAATATGCCAATCGACCAAACTCCGGAAATTGTCAAAGGTCTTCACCGGATGATTCCTTCCCTAGTGTTGGATGAGACATAGTCAACAAACACGGTTTAGAAACGCAGCTGATACTTTCAGAAAGCAGATCGGAATGGTTTAGCGGAAGTAATTTTTGAACTTGTAACATAGAACCCAAAGGGCCCATTTTTTTGGAAGAACAAGAGAGCTTGTAAAACATGACAATGGTTCCTGAGATAAGTTTGGGTTCTTGTGAAAAGGCTATTCCGGTGATTGGGATGGGCACTTCCTCATATCCTCCGGTTGATCCAGAAACAGCAAAATCAGCGATTCTGGAAGCGATGAAAGCAGGCTATCGTCACTTTGATACTGCCTTTTTATATGGATCCGAGAAGCCTCTTGGTGAAGCAGTTGCTGACGCTCTACGCCTTGGTCTCATTAAGTCCCGCGATGAGCTCTTCATCACAACCAAGCTATGGTGCACCTTCGCTGAACGTGATCAAGTGGTTCCTGCCTGTAAAATGAGCCTCGAGTAATTCACTTCACTCCACCATTCCATAATCTTTTTTGACATACACATGAGCACACACAATCACATGCCTGGGCAGAGAACCAGAATTTTCTCTGTTTATTTTTAACGGAAACTAGTCTCAATCACACATCATTGAATCAGGCGGATTCGATTTCAGGACTTACGAATTTACTTCTAATTTGTACGATCACTGAACCATCATACAGATTGGTGAATTCTTTCGATAGATTTTAAAGCAGACGTCTAGCAAAATGGACTGAAATTTGGAGAACGAACTCTCTGAAATTATGAGGATTGCTTCATAAATTGTATATATCATTAAGGGATTTAAATGTTTTTTTTTCATTGGTAGCTTTTTATTTTTGTGCACAGGAACCTCCAGTTGGAGTATGTTGACATGTATTTGATACACTGGCCATTGAGGTTGAGCGGAACGGTACATCAAACCCCTTTTTCAAAAGAATCCACACATCCTTTAGATATCAAGTCTGTTTGGGAAGCCATGGAAGAGTGTCAAAATCTTGGCCTCACCAAGGGCATTGGTGTCAGTAATTTCTCTTGCAACAAACTTGAGGAGCTTCTCTCAGTGGCCAAAATTCCTCCGGCCATCAATCAGGTGAGTAATTCAAAGGAAAATTACCCTTTGCCCCCCTTACCTAAGGAGTCAATTTCGATTTGTCCCTTGAACTATTTTAATTTTTCACAATGTCACTCAACTAATTGAATTTGTGTCACATTACCCAAAAACATTGGTTTATAAGGCAAAATGAATTAACTTTCTGTCAAATTGGTAACAGAACTAATATTATATTTGAAGGTGCTATATGAAAAGTGTGGTAAATATGAGGGTAATGTGAGAAAAAGGTCACAATTGAGGGGGAAAACTGTAATTTTACCAAATTGGATTCTTCATTTCATGTCGACCAGCCAGAGTCTGATGCTAATTCAAGTTTTGGGTTGTGAAAAGGTGGAGATGAACCCACTTTGGCAACAAAAGAAACTAAGGGAGTTTTGCAAGGCAAAGGGTATTCATATCACTGCTTACTGTCCTTTGGGTGCCAATGGAACAACATGGGGAGACAACAGAATTGTGGAGTGTGATGTGCTCGAGGAAATTGCCAAGGCCAAAGGGAAAACCGCTGCCCAGGTTTTTACAGTTCTACTATTGACTTTTAAATGCTTTTCTTTGTGTTCTATAAATTGGAAAAGATAATACAAGCTAGCTTGCTGGGGTATGATTTGTCAACAGTGTCAATTCTGATCTCATTCAGTTTAAAACAATCATTTTTATGATGAATTAAGATATAATCCATCACTATAAGTGAATGAATTGCAAAAATTTTGAGAGAATTACTAGTTGGAGGGCAGCAAACAGCTCGTTTTTGTCCTTTAGATAATGAAAGCCCAAAAGCAACAGATAAAGGCACTTTTAACATCAAAAGTAAATCACTTATCTTTTACATCTCATAATTGCCCTCACTGAAGTACTTTGAATGATGGTTTTAAAGAGTGGCCATTATGGGAGTTTTTGGCTTCATTTGGATTGGCATACTAAGTTCGAATGGATTCAGATTTCAAACACTTAAGACCTTACATATTTAAATCGGAATAAGGTTCTAAAATCCTGATTGTTCAGGTGATTGAGTCAAAGTGTAAGGCTACCTCTAGATATTTTTCTCTGCCTTGGAGATCAAATACTTAAAAAATTTCCTTTGTAGCAAATATGTGAAGAAAGACAAATTTCAATTCCGTAAATTACTTTCTTAGAATAGTGAAAAATAAATTTTTATTAGCCCAAGACTCACAATCGAAGTTGAAGAAGAACGGATAAATTAGAATATAGCTCCAAAAAATGAGGGAAGAAAAAGACTTTTATTGTTATGGAGAAATCTAAGATACCAGCTTACAATCAAAAACTTACAAAAGAGAAAGCTTACAAAAGAAAAAAACTTATAAGAGAGAAAATAGGAATAAACTAGTAATTGTTGTTGGTGATTTGTGTTTTTGTTGGCTTGGTGATTTGAGTTGGTGGGGAGTCTATTTTTAGGTGACTAGAGAATGGTCTACAAGCTCAAGGTAGGTGGAGGTTTGGAAGGTTCAAGAATTGTAACTTAGTGGTGAGCATTGATAGAAAAGTGAAGGTTCTAGATGTTGGTTAAAGGGTCAAGAAGGATACCAAGTACAAACATATTCTACAAGGTTCTAGATATTGAAATTCTCAAATATATTAATCCTCACTACATCCCTAAAAAATAAAATATTTAAATAAATAATTACCAAAAGTTTATTTTAAATTTTTAACACTCCCCCTTAAAGTGAACCTTTGGAAATAAGTCCAAGCTCCGCACGAAGATTCTAGAATGTTCCCTTAGAGAGAGACTTGGTGAAGATATCTGCAATGTTGTCCTTGCTCCGCACCTTCGATACTTCAATTGTTCCTTCAAGCACCTTCTCACGAATGAAATGTTGCTTGATCTTAATATGCTTTGTTCTTGCGTGACACACCAAATTAGTAGCCAACTTTCTAGCACTTTGATTGTCACCAAGAATTTTTGTAGGTTTATGAATAGGTGAAAACACATCTGCAACAAGCCAATGAAGCCAAGTGCATTCTTGAGCAGCAAGAGTGGAAGCCTTATACTCTGCTTCGGTAGTAAAAAGCGAGACCGAGTCTTGCTTTTTACTAGACCAAGAGACACATGCCGAACCACATGAAAACACATACCCAAAGGTAGATTTTCGATCATCCAAATCACCTCCTAATTCGCATCCGTAAAACCAAGTAGAGAAAATTCAACCCCTTTCTTAAAAAGAAGTCCCGTGTCATAAGTAGAATTCACATACTTCGATATCCGCTTCGTCGCATCAAGGTGAGATTTCTGTGGCTCTTGCATATAGCGACTAACAAGCCCAACGAAAAAAGAAATATCTGGCCCTGTAATAGTTAAATAAATTATACTACCAACAAGAGCACGATAAGGTCGGGGATCAGACAAAATTTTACTTTCATCATGCCTAATTTTAAAGTTAGGGTCAAGAGGAGTGGAATAGTACTTGCTTTTATTTATTCAAACCTGTCAACAAGCTTCTTAGCATAGCCTTCCTGAGATAGAAAAATCCCATCCTTCACCTTTTTTCACTTCCAAGCTAAAAAAATGACTTAACTCTCCCAAATCTTTTATCTCAAATCAAATAGAAAGTTCAGCTAGAAGCTTTGCAACCTCTTGTGCATCATTGTTGGTAATGATCATATCATCCACATATATTAGAACAATCATGTGCAGTGATCCTTGCTTCTTTACAAATAAACTAGAATATGAGTTAGAAGCAAAATAACTACAAAACTGTAAGGACTCGGCAATCTTACTGTACCACACCCTTGGACCTTGTTTAAGGCCATAGAGAGCCTTCTTGAGTTTTCACACATACTCTGAGTGAGTTGGAGAAACAAAGCTAAGGGGTTGCTCCATGTAGATTTCCTTATCAATTTCGCCATATAGGAAAGTATTTTTTACATCAAGCTGATATAGCTTCCAACCAAGAGAAGTTGCTCAAGAGATCACAACCCAAGCAGATGTCATATTTGCTACAAGGCTAAAAGTCTCTTCATAATCTTCTCCATATACTTGAGAGAAGCCTCTTACAACAAGCCTTGCTTTGAATCTATCAATGCTCCCATTTGCTTTCTTTTTCAATTTGTACACCCATTTGCAAGACACCAGCTTTACATCCTTGGGCATTGGCAATTTCCAAATGCTCTTACTCTTTTCCTCACTGCATCACACAATGTAGAAGTCCCTCCTTTAAATTTATAAGCCACTAGCTTCGCCTTTTTCTCGTCCAGAATGACCATATAGTTTTAGAATATTTCTAGCTCAACCAACCAATCAAGGAAATTCTCAACATGAAGGTATCCCTAATATTTGCGTAAGTCACTCTCTATATAGTCAAGTACTTATCATCATCCTCATTGTCTTCAATGGGTGTTGCTCTAGCAGATGCACCATGAACATTCAGCCTCGTAAGATAGACATGATGATCTTGTACGGGTTGGACATGGGCCATATCACCGTTGCTTTTCTCTGTCGACCACGATCCTGGTTCAAACCTAAGATCAACTAAGCATCCATAGCCCGCAATTCTTACAAATATTGTTGGCTTGCTAGAATTTTTATTGATTTTATTATTGAAAAAACAAGAATTTGGCCCTCGAATGAACCCTTTCCCATATGTTCACCATCATAAGGAAGATTTTTACCACTTTATTGGTGGGCATTGCTTGAACTCCGAAAATGCACCCAAGTGCAGATGATCAACCTATAGTAATAATTCTATGCAGTCCGAGATCAATCAATGAGGAAGGGGTAAATTAAATAAAAGTGTAAGGCAAAATGAGTTTTGAAAAGAGTAAGAGCATTTGGAAAATAATTTGCAAAGATAAGTTTAAAGTAAATAATACTTCGAAAAACAACTCTCTAGTTCCCGGGTTTGGATTTGCTCATATTTATTAAATAACTATATTTATGCAATATTAGATATCCATGTTAATTTTACTAAGAAAATTCAATCAATCGAATAAATAAAAGACGTAGCATTGAGATTAGAATAACAATTGCATATCATAAAGATTCGGATAAATAATTACAAATCCATCAATTCTAGCTAGAAACTACAAAAAGACTACTCACATTTCATGGTTGAATCTCCAATAATTGTATTAAAAAATAAATAAATCTGCGTCAAATGGCTGCTTGGCTAGGGATCAGAATAATAACCCCTCTCAATAGCATGAGGATATATTTATAATAGGATTGCAAGTCAAGACAGAAATGGAATCTAAATCTTTCAAGTAACTTTCCCCCGAATCAAAATCCATAACATCAGAGGATTGATCCACACATAATTCCCAGTTTGGTCTCATAGGGATCAACCCATATGAAGGAGGGATCGACCCCTAAGCATTCTCTGTCAATATCTTCCTTTAAAGATTGAACCATATTTATAGGGGATCGGTCCAAACTTGTTTTTCACCATGGCATTGATCCTTTATAAATATGGATCAAACCTTTTCTTCTTTTTGTCAAATCTTCATGCTACAAATCGATCCAATTTTATAAGGGATCAATGCCTAATAATTCTCTATCCATTCCTTGTGCCATCTTGTGAATCAAACCGTTCCAATTGTGGATTGATCCTCTTCAACTCTCTGATACTCATTTTCCTGCTTTTAGCTCTCTGTAATTTATGATTTAAACCGCTAAATAGCCGCTCCAACGCCTATTTAGTGTGACAAGATTCTTCTCTAATCAAGTCCGTAGGCCGTTGATGAACCCCGAAAACTTGATGGGAGACTTCTTTTGACAATGCCTTAATCAAAACCTTCGGCTCTGAGTCGGATTCTCGATTCTCTTGCCCCCTTGAGCAGAGGTAACTCTTCCTCCAGGTTGGGGATGCCAGTCTTGCTCTCTTCAATAGCCTTGTCTACTAGAGGCACTTTTGATGAGCCAATTTTAGATTTTTCATAGGTGCTCGGCATGTAGCTACTCGGGGTTCTAGTGGACGTGCCAAAGTTAGATTGGACTTAAAATCTAAACACGTATGATCTATTTATTTAAACTGATGTGAGGTTCTAAAATTGTGACTGTTTAAGTGATTGTAATGAGGTGTAAAGCTACATCTGAGTTTTTTTCTTTGCCTTCGAAATCAAGGATTTTAAATAATTTTTCAACTAATTACATAATGGATTAGAACATAGAAATAAAGTTGGAATGTAAAGTAGCAGATATGCTAAACTTAGAAAAAAAAAAGAGTACTGTACTTAAAATTAAATGTAAGCGGTAACGATCACTGTAGCGATGAATTAGAAGTAAAAGTAAAGTTATTGGGAAGTAAAAACAAATAAGTAGGAGAGAGGCTGACTCTATGTAGAGTTTTTTGTGCTTAATCATGAATCATTTCTTTGTAGCCTTACCCTTGTTATTTATAGGGATGACCTTCAACTGCCAATGCTATCTTTTTTGGTCATGACTGTAATCATGACTTTTTCCTTCGAGATGTGGAGACATATATTCAATCATCTCTAACTGACAGCTCATGATGTCACGTTTTTCCGCTTTTCAAGATTCTTAGAGCCCCACTTCCTTAATCGCTTTGTCAAGTATGAACTCTTACAAACTCTTTCATGACCATCGAATTGCATCCATGTGTCACCCTCATATTTTACTATTTTTTGGTGTAAACAATATCACAATAAGATCACATAAATTTAAAATACAGTAGAACTAGACTGGTGCCGAATAATATGCAAACATTGAAACATTCCTATTCCAACGTTGCTTTTTGAATAAAGGTGACACTTCACTAGAATCTCTTGATCTTTCTAAAGGGTGCTTTTCAAAGCGGTACATTGTGTTCGTTTTTTGAGTTAGTTTTAAAGGGAAACTATCCTAAATGTTTAGTTTTAAAATGTAAAACCACCCTAGTTGGTGGTTAAGGGCCAAGTGGAAGATAGTAGGAATTTTGTGGCCCATTAACTTTTACTTATACCAAAGTTGGTTTGATTACTACTCTTGGAAGGATTGTAGGATACATATGTTTGCAAATCAGGGTCAGATTTGTAAACATTAACAAATGAAGGGTTGTTATTTAATACATCAGTATTTTGTGGTCATCCTTAGCCAAATTGGGTTCCTTGATGGTTAGCATTCTTAAAGGCCTTGAATACATAAAGGAAGCACGTCCCCCTACCCAGCATGTTCTTTTCGCCTCTTTGTGTATACGTTGTGCCCAAGGCAGTGGAAGACGTTACCATCGTGTTCTTGTTCAGCAAAGGTCGGACCTTTTCGCCAAAATATGGTACGACACTATTATATTTACATCGTCAAATTCGTGATTTATCATTATAAATCCTACCTAGGCATTGAAAAAAATACACGAGGTACCCCTCATGTATCATGTGAAATTACAAGCGATTTAGTTACGCATGCAAGAGCCTCAAATACTAGCTTACATTTTGCAGGTCTCTCTGAGATGGGTGTATGAACAAGGCGTGAGTTTGGTACCAAAGAGCTTTAACAAGGAGAGAATGAGGCAAAACCTTCAGATATTTGATTGGTCACTGACACAGGAAGAATCACACAAGATTAACCAGCTTCCTCAACGCAAAGGCATCACTTTGGCACATGCTTTGGGACCCCTCGACTGGGTGCTGGAGCTGGATGCAGATCTCTGAAAAAATCATAAGAAAATTCCACTTATTTCTAAATTCTCAGAATAAAAAAAGTTGGACAGCCAGCGACACGTTACACATTCATGGAGAGTCATTTTATCCGAATGTATGGAGGTTTTTACCCATATCAAGTGTTTTTGAAAAAAAAGTCCCAATTAAGGGTAGGTTTGAAAATAATTTTCAAACCAAAGATAGTTTTAAAAACGTCATTTGGTCTGACGTTTTTAAGCCAAAAGACGTCAATTGGTCTAACGTCTTTAGCTTAAAAACGGCAGACCAACTGACGTTTTTAAGGCAGTGTTGTGGTGCAGGCAAGTGAAAAAACGGCAGCCCATTTGATACTATTAAAATGAAATTCAAGAGGCATCAAATGGTTTGACGCCATTGAAATGGAAAATTCAAGTGGCGTCAAACCATTTGACGGCCATCTAATTCAGCCCATTCCACCACTAACAGCCCAAGCACTTTATGAATACACATTAAAATTTTGGATAATTTTCATAATTGCCCCTAAATTTTCTCTTGGGTTTTAATTTATTTGGTCCTTAAAAATTTTAATTGTTTTATTTCAATTAAATCATTCAATAATATGGTGATAGGTTTTTTGCCTCTTTTTTCTGAGTAAAATGTTAAATGTTTATTTAATAAAAAAATTATGATAAATTACAATATTAAATGTTAAATATTAAACATTAAATGTAAAAATGTAAAATGCTTTTTTTTTCTAAGCAAATTTTAACTGTTTTGCTGAGTTTTTGTTATTTATTAAAAATTTAATTACATTCAATAAATAAATTTTGATAAATTAAAAATACTTATATTTTTTAGCAAATCAAATTTTAAAAATTGAAAATATATACATATAATTAAATTTAAGGCCCCATATAAACCGTAAGCATTACGCCCAATACGTTTTGGTCTAGAAGGCCCTATACAAACTTGTTCATCCCGAAAGTGCGCGCCAAACACATTCTTAAGTCACTTCCATCAACTCCATTGGGCATTTCGACTAGAAATGCATTAAATAACCGGTAAAACCTAATTAAAACTCATTGTACCAGTTACCAATACCAACCATCTTTAAACTAAAAGGGTGATGATGCTATTTGTTTACTGGGCGAAGTAGGAGTCATTCCACAAAACATAATTGATTTAAACAATTACAAAAAAACCCCATGGGTAATGGTTCTCGGTGCATGCGAAGTTGTATGGAATCAAATCGGAATAATTTTTCGACCAAGTTGCCACAGTTCTTCAGGATTATTTTCTCTCGACTTTTTTGAAATCACAGGCTGGTAAGTATTTCAATCTCTCATTCTTTCAAGGATATTGACATTCATGCATGAACGTACAAAGCTTTTTTATTTTTTTACTTTCAATAATATTATAAAATTTTAATTTTTAGTTTATTATTTTAATTTTTTGAGATTAAAAATTACTAATGAAATTTTGTTATCCAAATTATGCCAACATATTTTTTTAATTAATTGTATGACTTTTGATAGTAAATATTTTGATAAAACGTATACATATAATTAAATTTAATTTTATCATATTAATAAAAATGCATGCATAAAATAAAAATAAATTTTTATTTGGTATTTAGAACATATACATGTAAAAAAAAAGATGTTAACAACGTGGTTGATACTCAAAACAACATAAAGGATTATCGTGTACAAATAAACATGATGGGATAAAAGTGTCAGACACATCATCGTCTAAATCAAAGAAATTAGAAAGCTCAAGATCAGAAACAAGTAACAGATCCTCTAAAATTTTAATTTTAGCATATTCAGGATCAAAATGTTCTATTTTAGCATAATTGAGTGCATGAAAATGATCAAGACGACGCTACATTTGATCACTTTCACGTTCAAGCCTTGATATGATCTCGTCATGATTGTTTGAATTATATGAATTATAAATGTCAGCCAAACGTGCCCTTGGTACCACAATACCATGCCAACGATAAAATACTTCATGGTCACAACGTTTGTCATATAATTGTCTCCGTCTTGGTGTGGGTTCGATACGAGCACCTGGAGGTGGATAATCAGTTGCAGGCCCAACAATTACATGTCCAGCTTGTCCGAATGGGTGATAAGGGTCGATTGACTCATTGTGAAATGCACGCTTTCGTCCATACCACGTTATACCACTAGAATCAGTATATAATTCGATAGAAGTAACTTTGTTGAACGATGTTGAACTGTCTGTTGAGCATTCACATTTGTTACCCAAGGATGAACTATTTTGGTCATTGCGTGAAGAAGAACTTGCATGTGAAGTACTCCTATACATTTTGTTTGGTGGTGGTGCATTTACACAAATGTTAATGGTAGTATATATATGATTGGTTTGGCAATTAAAAATTGGAGTGAAAGGACATCAATATGCATAATTTGGAATTGATTTGCCAATGATGGAAAATGTCAATGAAAAAGTTGGGATATGACAACACACTGCATTGCTTTGTTAAAGCCACGAGATACATTAAAGTATATAGTACATTACACTACAAAGTTGAGAATTGATTTGACAATGAAAAAGTTAAGATATGACAACACACTGAATAAACTCATAAATGCACAATATTGATTAAAATAAATAGGACATAGAAATAAACGTTATATGCTTAATAAGGTGGACACTAATTATAATTGTTAATTTTCATCAGACATATACTCATCTGATAGGCATTGTTCATTAGACAATACATTAGAGCGCTCAATAGTTGTTAAGTCCCTGCTAAATGCAGTTGCCATCATGTCAGATGCTATTTGGAGCATATAATATCGGCACTTACGCAACATCATCCTATTATTCTCCTTTCGTATACGTTTAACTACTGCTTCATAGTTGACTCTATTCTTTCGGGGCATGGTAAGTGAATGTCTATATGGCACCGGTATACCAAGTTCTCTCAGATCTGTGCATAATGATTGTGATTCATTACTATGAAAAGCCCACTCTTGACGAAGTCCAGCATAATACTCCTTTGGATTAGAAAATCTCTCATTCTTGTAATCATCATCTCGCTCTTTTAATAATTGTACTAGTTCATGCCTACGACTAGTATCACCTGCTCGTGCTCTTGAAGTAGACATAATATGCAATACATGTTATATGACCCACCCTATATTATATTTTTATAGTAATTTTCATTGTCTAAAATAAATACATTTTTCAGCAGTGCAGTAGTGTGTAGTCACTTCTATGTTTAAGTTGATGGTCAAACAGTAACAAGATACTTGTGCAGTACGCATGACTACACACTATTACATGTCAGCAGAAATAGACACTGGTACGCAATGACTGTGACAACACACTGAGAAATGTAGTCCATTGATTTTAATAGACCCTAATTCATCCTACGTCATAGTGATTCACGACCCATGATATGTTTAACAGTTTTAGGGTTTGTGGCTAGTAACTATTGTGTAGTCACAGGATGTGGAATGTGACAACACATTAGTGCTGTTGAATGAAAAATAGTTACAATGATTGACAATTGCATCATTGTCAGTCGTTGTGACAACATACTAGGTTACTGTGACTAAACACTAGTTAAATGTCAGTCTGTGTGACTACACAAGTAATTTGTCAACAGTAGTGTAGTAGTGTGTAGTCACCTTTATGTTTGAGTTGATGGTCAAACAGTAACAAGATACTTGTGCAGTACGCGTGACTACACACTATTACATGTCAGCAGAAACAAACACTGGTATGCAGTGACTGTGACAACACGCTGAGAAATGTAGTCCATTATTTTAATAGACCTTGATTCATCCTGCATCATAGTGATTCAGGTGTAGGTGGTACATCATCTGCTGGGCCAGCGTCTGGATGTACATCATGCAATGGATCACATGGGAGTAATCGCTTTGGACGTATATGCGATAAACGCTCCCATGCCCATAACTATATAAAAATATAAAACAGTTGTAGTGTAACACATACATTTGTCATTACATTAAACAATATATATTTGAACAAACATGAAACATAAGTTTGCATGTATCTGTACTAGAACAAGCAATCTACTGATGTCCTTAGCATCACGTGTAGTGGCGATGCACATCTCGCGGTAAAGCTAGGCCAATGCTGTGATACCCCAGTTGTACTGACTAGCTGATGTAAGATTGGCAAGTAAAGGAAGGTACATCAACTTCACCTTGCTAGAAGACTTGTCTAGGAAAAGGTATGAACCGATTAGGAGCATGATTTAGGCTATGGCATAAGAAGCAATAAAATCATCATCTGCATCTACTGGTACACCTCCATCCAAATGCCCTCGCAATGCAGAAAGCCTGAGGGAAGACCTGTCAATAGCCCCCTCGGCAGGTGTAAAACCGAGCAACTGCTGGCCATGTCGTGTTTGTCGGACAACTATCTCTCCCAAACACTGCCATACCATCAATTGGAAGGCCTATGTGAACAAAAACATCCTAAAAAGTGATCGTAGTCTCTCCCATCGGAAGATGAAAAGTATGCGGCTTGACATGCCATCTCTCGACAAACGCTGTGATGAGTGCATGGTCCAACTACTTGGACGCAATCTTGTGCACCCCGTAAAAGCTGATTGTAACCAAATGATGGAGCACACACTCATCTGTGACATGTAACTATCATGCGGTGCGATCGATACGCCTGCAGTGCAACGGAGGTAGATCTATGCCCTATCAGATGTACTCTGATCGATGATCAGACTGTAACGCAAGAACGGAGTGGTCTTGTGGACTAGGATGTACTAACCGCCATCCATCGGTGGCCATGATGAATAACTAAATAAATCTACAAAAACAACATTCCATAAACCATCAAACAAATCATTGCAACAAACATGTGAATATAATACATTATACCAACATAGGGCTAAAACATAAGCAAATCGACAGGTCCAATACACAAATGATTATAACATATAACAACATATCAAGCTCACAAAATAATAAAATACAATCTACTGAAGGGATGCTGGAGCCCGCATATTTATGGATGTACACTTTCGATGATTGTGACCCAATTCGTCGCATAACCCACAATGTATCTAATTACGACCCTCTGGTGGGAAGTCCATCTCATTCTGTATGCACATCGTCCGTGGCCGACCAATCAAGTCTTGACGTTGGTTACGATTAGGGACTAATTTGGCCCGTGGGGGATCATCCCAGTAATGCTCATCCTCTAGAGGAAACATTTCAGGGGCCCAAATTTTCTCTAAAGTGTC